GGGTGTTTTTCTATAAAAGTCCTATACTTGTTTTATTAGATTCACACCTAAGTATTTCATTTTTTGGAGTGATTATAAATGACACTGTATTTTAATTTTGGTTTCTAGGTGTTCATTGCTAATATGTAGAAATACAATTGAGTTATGTATGTTTGTCTTTATCCTGTGACCTTACTGAACTCACTTATTAGTGCTAGGAATTTTTTTGCAGATTCCTTGGGATTTACTATATAGACAATTGTGTCATCTGAAAATAGAGACAATTTATTTATTTATTTATGATCAGTATACCTTTAATTCCTTTTCTTGTCTTATTGCACTGGCAAGAACTTTGTTAAATAAGAGAGTGATCTTTGTATTTTTCCTTATCATAGGGGGAAAGCTTCCAGACTTTTACCATAAAGTGGGATGTTAGTTGTGTAGATGCTCTTAACCAAATTGAGGAAGTTTCCTTCTATTCCCTTTCTTTTCTGAATAAATATCATGAATACATATCAAATTTTGACTGATTTTTTTTCTGCTTTAACTGATAAGATGCTTATGATTTTTCCTCTTTAGCATATTAATTTCCATCTTTTAAAAAAAAATTGAACCAGCCTTGCATCTCAGGAATAAACTTCTCTTGGTCATAGTGTGTAATTTTTATAAGTTGCCGGTGTTTTGTTAAGGATTTTGCATTTATATTCATGAGGGATTTTGGTCTGCACTTTCTTTTCTGTACTGCCTTTGGTTTGGTATCAGGGTAGTACTATCTTCATAGAATGAATTAGGAAGAGTTTCCTCCTTATTGTTTCTTATGCTTCCTTTGGTTTATTTTCCTCTTCTGGTTCTTGAAGTTTAGTGCTATAAATTTCCCTATTAACCCTCCTTTAGCATTTAGTCTTTATTTAATTTTAATTTAATCTCTTTCCCATACATTTTGATATATTTATTTTCACTTTCATTCCTTTCAGTGAATTTTTTAAAAATTTCCCTCGGGATTTCCTCTTTGACCCATGGATTATTTCAAAGTATGCTGGTTAGTTTTCAAGTGTTTGGAAATTTTCCTATTTGCTTGTTGATTTCTAGTTTGATTATGTTGTTAGAGAGTATACTCTGATTTCAGTTCCTTTAAAATGCCAAGATTTGTTTTGTTGCCCAGGATATTATCTATTTTGATACATGTTCTGGAACACTTGAGAAGAATGTGTATTCTGCTGCTATTGGGTAGCATGTTCTATAAATGTCAATTAGGTAGATATTTACCTATTATTATATATGTATTTAGGTGGTGGAATTAGATAATGGTGTTGAGTTCTTCTATTTCCTCATTGCTTTTCTGTCTAGCTGTTCTATTAATTCTTGAAAAAGAGGTGTTAAAGCCTCCAACTAAAATTGTAAATTTGTTTGTTTCTCTTTTCACTTTTATCAGTTTTTTGCTTCGCATATTTTACAGCTCTGTTGTTTGGTACACACACATTTAGGATGGCTTTTGGTGGCTTAACCTTTTCATCATTATATAACGGCACTGGTAGTTTTCTTTGCTCTGAATAATAATCTGATAGTAATACTGGTAATAATCAGTATTATCTGATAATTGTATTTTTTGATGATATTACTGATAATAATATTGCCACTCCTGTTTGCCTTTGATTAATGTTTGTTTGCTTTGTCTTTTCCCATTCTTTTACTTTCCACCTGCCTATATCATCATGTATGTACTGAGTTTCTTTAAACAGCATAGAGCTGGGTCATGCTTTTAATCAGGTTTTTTAAGCCAATTTCTGTTGTTAAATTAGTGGATTTAGACTATTTGCATTCATTTTAGTTATTGATATGTTAGGGCTTAAGTCTGGCATTTAATTTTCTCTTTTTTGTTTCTTTTGCTTTTCACTTGTTCTTTGTAGTTGTTTTGTTTTAAGATTTCCATCTTGGTTTATGTATAGTTTCTAGGTGTATCTTCTTGAACAAATTTTTTAGTGGTTGCTCCAGGTATTATATTATATACCCATAACTTATAACAACCTACTGGTATTGTCATTTTACTAGTAGAGTCAAATGTAGAGATACCTTCCTTTATGTCCTTTACTCTTCCTTGTTTATAATATAATTTTCTTAAATATTTCTTCCATGTACATTTAGGACTGCATCATACAGTGGTATAATTCTTGCTTCAAGTATCAAACATAATTACAAAACTTAAGAAGATAAGGAAAGCCTATTGTATTTACCCAATTTTTGCTTAGCATTTTTTCTTCCATCCTGATGTTCTAAGATTTGTTCTTTTGTCATTTATTTCTTTTCATAGAACCTTCTTTAACCACTTTTTAAGAGGAGATCTGTGGGCAAAAAATTCTCTTAAGTTTTCCTTCTTTGAAAATTTCTTGATTTTCCCTTTATTCCTGAAAGATATGTTCACCATGTGTAGAATTTGGAGGTAACAGTCCTTTTTTTTCAACACTTGAAAAATATTGTGCCACTTCCTCTGGCCTCCACATAGTTTATTATTAGAAATCTGCTGCCATTTGAATAATTTTTCCCCTGTAGGTAAAGTGTTATTTTTCTATTGCTGTTTTTGAAGTTTTTAAATTTTTTGTCATCAGTGTTCAGAGTTTAAATATGATGTGTCTTGGTGTGGATTTCTTTGGATATATCCTATTTAGAATTTAGTCAGCTTCTTGGATCTGTTTTCCAGTCTTGTTTTCTCTCTGTTGATCAGAGTAGGCAGGTAATTTCTACTATTGTGTTTGCTCATTCACTGCTGGTTCTTTGCTCTGTCCCTCCATTCTGCTCTTGAGCCCATCCACTGAGTTTATATTTTGGTCACTGTATTTTTCAGCTGTAAATTTCTATTTGGTTTTCCTTTATGTCTTCTATTTCTTTGCTGAGGCTTCCTATTTTATTTTTTCATTTGTTTCAAGTGTGTTTGTAATTGCTTGCTGAGGCATTTTTATGATGGCTGCTTTAAAATCTTAGATAATTCTGACGTCTCGATCATCTTGATGACATCTTGATAAAGATGACATCTTTATCATCTCTGTCACAGGTGTTAGCACCTATGGATTTCCTTCTTTTGTGTTTAGTTTGAGATCTTTCAGTTTCTTGGTACGATGAGTGACTTTCCAATGAAACCTGGACATTTTTGTACTACATCATGAGACTCTGGGTCTTACTCAAACCTGCTCGTCTGCTTTCTCTGATGCCATTCTGGCAAAGGAAAGGATGGGCAGCATGGCCTCTTTATAGCCAGCTGGAAGTAAGAAGTTCACGTTCCCTACTTGACCTCTCTTAACCCCTGAAGGGACTGGCTCCCTATTACCTCTGGGCAAGGAAGATCTAGGCTCCTTACTTAATTAACCTCCTTTGATGTACCACCCCTGTGTGGGTGTTGGGAGGTGTTGTACATGGAAGGTGGGGGTGTAACAGGTGCGAGGCACTCACCCGGGTGGGAATCTAGGCTCCCACTCATCCTTTGCTAGGTGGATAGGGGTGGGGCCGAAGTGTTTTTGGTGGTAGTGGCTAGAGTAGAGCAGTTATTGTCCAAAAATTTCCTGTCTTTGAGGCTTTTCCTTCTTGGTCCTTTGGTTTTTTGGGGGGAGTTTTTTCTGTGTACCTGTCAGTCTTCCAAGGTTGCCAGCTCTTTCAGATTTAAGTCTGGACTGTATGGGCCAAAAAGAAAACCCAGGGTACTTATCGGCCTTTCTCTCTACCTTTCAAAGTCTACTTTTGTTTGTTTTATATATAACGTTAGGGTTTTTAGGTATATGTAGTGGACATGCGGGGAAAAATACGTTTCTATGTTTCCAGCCCAGAAGTCTTGGGCCATGGACTTTAAAACTGCCTTACTGCCTCATGCCTTTGCTGTGAGAGTTAAAGAAGACCGCAGCTGCAAAACTACAATAGTCACTGGCATGTGGCAGCATGTAAGAAACATCACTCCTCCTAGTCTGGTGGAGAAGCTAGCGTGAGGCAGCTGTGGGCTGAGCAGGCAGTGGGACAGCATCCACTCCTGCCCATGGTGCCAGTGGGCCTGGGGGCTCCTGGCCAGCCCCTGCCCCAGCCTCTCCCTTCTCCAGTGCAGGCTGCACCCGGGGCATGGGATAAATAACCCACGTGTTCCCTCAGGGGGCTGCAGCCAATGGCTTCCACCCAGTGGGAGGCTTCTTGGGCTGTGGGGATAAGTCCCTGGCTCATCTGCTCAACGCCTTGCTCTCTTTGTCCCCCGCCAGGAGGCAGCAGAGCGAACCATGAAGAGGAGGGAGCGGAGAGAGTGGGAGGCCCGGAGGTGAGTGTGCGCTTCAGGCGGCGCCCGCTGCTGGCGCCCGCTCCCCCTGCGGGGCCTGTCTGGAGGCTGCATGCATATTTTTCCACAATTCTTTTAGTTTAGAGCCTCTGGGCCAGTGGCTGCAGGAGTGAGCATGTAGCCCCTGCATTGGAAAAGAGCTCTGGGTCCCCTCTGTTGCCCTCTGGTCCCATGAGTGACAGGACTGGGTGCGGAGGTCTCTCAAATACATGCTGTCAGGGGTGACAGGCTCTGGTTCTTCCAAGTTTTCCAAACATACATACTTTCATTTGCAAGTTCTTTAAAAATGGGATAGATGGCAATAGTGTAAAACATTTCATAGAATAAAGTATATGAAAAGGAAACCAAGGTATCCATAATTCCTCTTCATGCTGCAAGTTAACAAATTGGAGTGCTCTGAAATAAAACTATTGGGAAAGGTTATTCTAGCTTGAGATGAACATGCAGCTGTGCCCTGGAGCTGAGAATTCCTTGCTGTACCGAGTCCTTCAAGGTCTCTGCTAGTCCAGCTGAAGAGGTGTGCTTGGAAGGACAGTGCAAAACCAGTGTGGGAAGTTCAAGGAAAGAAAAGTGAATATAATCCACTCTCACTAGTGGGAAGAGAAAATTTTGTATCAATTTTCCTGGGTTATTCATACTTGTGCATATTTTATGTGATCATAATATGGACCTAATTTTGCATTTTTTCACTTAATATAATTATTTTAGGTAGTTCTGAACAGCCTTTATAACCTGCATAGTACTTAATTCACCACTCCCTGTCTTTCGGCTGGGGGTTACTTCCGGTGTCTCTGCCATGATAACAAGGCTGCAGTGAGCAACTTTGTGGACATAGCGAGTCCTGTCCTGCTTATTCCTCTGACTTGTTCTCTTGGGATAACTTCTTAGAAGTGGCATTCTGGGTCTGTGATATTTTACATCTTCCATTGCCACAAGTAATCTGTGTCAAAATTACACCTTTCCCAGCATTATACATTATACGCTCCAAGAAAGTCTGTAAGTGAAAAAAGAGCACCATGACTTACTCTGCATTTCTTTGATTACCTCAAGTTTGAGCATTTTCCAAGTGTTTTGTCTTCTTGTACTGCTTCCTATTGAAGACCCACATCTTATGTCATTGCAGAAGGGACATCCTCTTTGACTATGAGCAGTATGAATACCATGGGACATCGGTAAGCGCGACAGGGGTATTTCACCATAAAGTTCTGGCTCTGGGGGTCAGTGTCCTGAAACAGGAGGAAGGACAGGTTTTAGAGCCACAGAAGCCTGGTTTGAATCTGAGCCCCACTGCTTCCACCTTGGGGAGGTGGTGCAGCCTGCTTGAGCTTTAAACTCCTCCGGAAAAGGAAGAGAGCAATCGTCATGTCAGAGGCCATTGCTGGGATCCGCCTGCAGACCCACGAGGTCTCAACGGTTATTTTTGTTCATCATCAAAAATATGCAGCAGGTCTTTATTAGTCTCTGTGCAAGAAGATAAAACTCCAGAATTATAAAGGCCCCCCGCTGCGTGTGCGTCATGGAACAGAATTCATATGGGAAACCTCCTGGTAGTGTGAGCAGAGCACAGGGCTTCAAGGAGCCCTAGAAAATCGGTCTCCAGTTCAACATCCTGTGTTTAGTCTTAGAATTTGGCCTGGGGCCGTGAACTCTGAGCCCCATATTGCCAGAATCCCTTTCTCTGTCAAGGTCCCATTGTCCTTTGAAGGGTCATCTTTTTGCCCTCTGCTCTGCCCTGGCGAATGGAAGATTCTACACAGTGGGTGTGGTGGGTGGGACAGTGGATGCTGGGCTCCCTCCAGATACAGGGATGGTTCTCTTGGCAATCCTCTCTGACAGGCTGCCCAGCATCTCACAGCTAACAGGACTTCACAGAGTTCTGGTGAGACACTGATCCCCCTCCCTGCCTCCTATGGAAACCTGTACCCTCTGCTCAGAGGGAGCTGCAGGCCTCCATCCACGGACAGCCCTGCAAGAGGGACCTTCCTCGCAGGGGGTCCTGAGGCTCCGCCCTCCGTAATGCCCAGGTAACGGGCCAAGGCCTTGCCTCACCTGGCCTTCCTGGAAATGTGCGAAGCCACCAGGCAGCCAGGATCTGCACATGGACATAGAGTAATGCAGACGGTGGGGTCCCCAACCTCCTGGCTCCAGAGCCTCCCTCAGGCAACACTGAGGCACCCAGTGAGATGTGCAGAGGCCCCGGCACAGGGCTGCAGCCTCCCTTGTGGCATGACGGTGTACTAGTTAGCAGAAGACACAGTAGGGTCACTTGCCGTCTTCCTCCCTCAGTCTCCCCTGGAATCCACCCCAGCCAGGCAGACCATCTACAGGTGGCCCAGGTTTGGCCCAGCTGTGTGGCCTGCCCTCCTATAAGCATGGCTGGCCCTGGCCTCAGGCTTCTCTTTCTTGCAGTCAGCCATGGTGATGTTCGACCTGGCGTGGATGATGTCCAAGGACCTGAATGACATGCTGTGGTATGTAGGCCCCAGTCAGGGTCATTGCCATGCAGGGCTTCCTTCTCTGAGTAGCCCTGTCCTCCCACCGTGAGGCAGGTTCTGGAGGAAGATGTCCCCACATGTACATCCCTTGTTCCCACCAGGAACTTTGGACACAGCCCCTTCTGGCCATGTGTGTGACCGTTTTCCTTCCTAACTGAGGCTCTTGACTGCACATAAACTCCTGGGGGCCAGGAAATTTGAGGAATAGGGGTGTTAGATTTAAACAAGGCAGCCCTTGCTAGGCATCTCTGCAACCCTGGCATGTGGTGGAATCTGACACACGAGTCGGTGTTAACCTGCCTCTGAGCCTGCTGCATGGGCTTTACATGGGAACAGGAGTGCCACGAACGTGGGTTGATTTAGAGGCTAAACCTGCAGAGTTTGAGCAGAGACAGCATAGGTCTAGCCTTCTCCATCCCCTCAGCCCTCTTCTCTGGGCCCTTGTTTTGTCCTCTGCAAGGTAATAGTCTGGTGAGGTCCCTTCTGGCCCTGACCACGCACAGTGGGATTGTTGAACCAGGGCCTCAGGACAGCCAGGGGCTGGGACAGGGCTGAGGCCCTGTTCATGCCTAGGACCAGGGGTGTTCTGTCTTCACCTCGAGCCAGCAGCTGGCTGCGTACCCACCTCTGTCCTTGGGCAGCTGCCCAGCCCCTCACCCTGGGCCCTCCATGGCATGGACACACAGCTCCTGCATCCTGGCATGGGCCAGCTTGCACATAGAGGGCTCCTGCAGTAAAACTGGTTGCAAGGCCTGTAGGCGTGGCACCTGACTGCTGTATCAGCATGGAGGAGCCTTTAGTGAGTGCCTGCTGTCTGCTCCATGCCACCCTGACAGCCCACCACAAGCTCCTCACTTAGCAGTGATCAGAACATGCCCCGTGACATGCTTCTGGGAAACCCCCAAAACAGCAAGGAAACATGAGAAAATCAGCTGATGTGCAGTGCACACGTGCACAAGTTTGGAAGGAGGTGGGGTTGGTCGGGTAGGTAGGAGGCTTACTGCACTGGGAGCGGTAGTTGGGGGCTGGGGCCCCTGCCCCCACAGGTGAACGTCCAAGGCTTCTCCCTCCTTGCTCCGCACACAGTGTCCTTGGCTGTGAGCCCAGACAGGGGTCTTGAGGATAGTGGGGACCCACGGAGGGCAAGCGCACGCCTAGGGTAGCTGATCACACGTGGGGGCCTGGCCCCCCATTGTGGTCTGGCTGTGGTCCTAGGGAGTTCAGACCGGCCTGGGTCATAATAGAGACAAAGATGAGCTTGGAGACAGGACCTCAGAAGGTTCTTTTGAGGCCTAAATGCTGTTTCTCCCCATCCCACCGTTTTACGCTGGAAGGATGGGGGCTGCTCTGCTTGGCGGCGTGTTGCTGAGGGGCGGTGATGTGAGAGGCTCGGGTGGAGCGACGTGCTGGGGTCAGCACAGATACTGTGCCGTCCTACACTAGCGGAACAAGGGTGGAGAGCAGCTGGGCGAACCAGGATGCAGAGATGGCAGCGGGCCTGCCGGTCCCTGTCCTGGGATTTCCCTCGTGCACCCACCCATGTGACACCACCGGGAGCCCTGGGTTGCCCCTGTGGAGGGCAGATGCCTGTCTGAGGGTGGCCCGGGTCGGGTCAGGTCGGCAGGATGTTCCTGTGTGCGCTGCCCACCCGCGCACGCCGTTCCCCGCTCCACTGCCTTCTCTTCTCCTTCCAGGTGGGCCGTCGTCGGACTAACAGACCAGTGGGTGCAAGACAAGATCACCCAGTAAGGGCACGCTGCCTCGGGCTGAGCCCGGCCAAGCCCAAGTCGGCTGCGGTGTGCCGGGTGGCAGAGCCAAGGGGAGGGGCTGCCCTTGCGCCTGGGTCCCCAGCACCAAGGGACGGCTCGTGACAAGAAGCCCTGGCAGCGTAGTGTGTAGCCCTGGGGAGCCCAGCAGGTGGAGCCAGAGTGCGGAGGGAGCTGTCTCCCAACTCGATGCCATGGGGCAGCGGGAAGGGTCGGTGGGGAGGAGGCACAGAGGTGTGGCCCGTGCCTTGTGGACGCGGGGAGCCGGGAGGAGGAGGAGATGAGGGCCCTGGGCGTCCTGCCAGCGAGGGTGGCTGTGATCTAAGGGAAGGGGAAGGTTGGACACTTTCCGTGTCAGGATGGCTTTGGTGCTTGCTCCCCAGCTGTCAGACTCCCAGCAGGGAGCCCAAGGGCTGCCCAGAACACATGCTGGGAGGACGGGTGCCAGGGCCCTCTCACCCCCCGTCCTCGGGGGCTGTCAGGTGGGCAACTGACAGGGACCATGGCGCCAAGACGCTAACCCGCAGGGGCCCCGAGCCCGTGACCCGGCACCGCCCCAGACAGCTTGCATGTGCACTGCTCTGCAGTTTGGAGAAGGCCCTGAGCCCCAATTTCCTGCCTCTCCCTCCCCACCCTGTCTACCCAAGTCCTGCGGTGTGGCCCAGGGACCACATCAGACCAGCTGGGCTACTTCCTGGGCACCTTGCTGGGCCTTGCTCCCCCTCCTCCATTGATGCCGTGGGGTATGTGCAGCACCAGGCACCATCCCGGGTCTGTGGCCAGCCCCAGCCTGCAGGGGGCCCTGGACCGGTCTGCCCCTCCTGCTGTGCTCAGGACCACTTCCTGTGCAGGGTCCACACCCTCTTCTGTGGTCCAGTGTCACTCCCAGGTGTGTCTGCAGGGCTGTGGCCTGCCTGAGTACCTGCCCCCAGGAGGCCACAAATAAGTAGGGACCCAGCAGCCACCTCCCAGAGGAGAGCACACAGGCCCCCCGATGCGGCCGGAGGCCCCCCGCCCCCAGCTCTGTCCACTCACGGCCTCCAGCAGCCTGGCCCTGTTGCCACCACACTTGGTTCTGTGCAGAGGCGTCAGGATGTCCTCAGGCCTGGCAGGAGCAGCCCTTGGGGCGGGCCACCCCTGAGTGTGCCCGCAGAGGCCTGCAGGAGAAGCCTGTCCAGCCCAGTGGTGCTTTCTTCCCAGGATGAAGTATGTGACTGACGTGGGAATCCTGCAGCGCCACGTGTCGCGGCACAACCACCGGAACGAGGACGAGGAGAACGCCCTGTCCGTGGACTGCACACGGATCTCCTTCGAGTATGAGTATCCTTGTGGCTTAGCCTGCTAGGTGCAGGCAGTGTCCCTCCAACTGTGTGCCGTCCGCAGGCTACAGCCCACAGCCCCTCACCAGGCTGAGCCTCAGCTGCACTTGGAGAAGGGAGAAGAGCGTGGGCCAGGGCTGCGGCCGTGCAGAGGCCCTGGGGTGGGCTCGAGGAACAGGCTGGAGAGATAAGGGTCTGGGAGTCATAGAGGCCACATCAGGGGGCTCTATGAGCCCAGGGCAGCAGGCAGTTGAGGAGTTCAGTTCTTGGAACGTAAAAAGTCCATGGGCTGCTGATTTGGGGAAAACAGACTGGCAGCTATAGGCATGTCATGTGGCTGGGTCTCACCGCTCTGGTGTGGGTAGAGCATGGCAGGGATGGTGCTGTCCTGTGCCCATATTGGGCTGGCTGAGGCCCATTAAACCTGGGTGTGAGCAGTGGAGGTCCCAGAAGGCGAGTCCAAGAAGAGCCAGGTCCTGGGGGTACCAGGGTGTAGGCAGGGGGGCAGTGGCCCCAGGGCCCAGCCATCAAGGAGGCAGCACTGAGGACCAAGTCCTCATGTTCCCGGAGCTCCAGGGCACCCATGTGATAACTGGTCACGTGGGCAGATCCCAGCGAGGCAGGGAGGAGGGCTGGGCGGGGGACTTGCACACACCTGCTGAGCCCCGGGTCACCGCACCGCCTGGCCTCCTTGACTGAGGGCCCAGCCTCCGCCTGGCGCTCTACCAGCACTGGTCCCTCCACGACAGCCTGTGCAACACATGCTATACCGCCGCCAGGTTCAAGCTCTGGTCTGTGCAGGGGCAGAAGCGGCTCCAGGAGTTCCTGGCAGATGTCGGGTGAGTGCCTGCCTCGGCCTGCCACCCCGTCTGCTGTCACCAAACTTAGTCCTGCACCCGCTGCTGCTGTTTCTGCCCTGAGTTCCTCACCTCGGATCTCAGAATGTCCTCGGAAGGCCGAGGCCGGGGTGCCCTTGTTTGCACATGCACTGGGGCCCACTGGGGGCTCTTCCCTCCCGCTGCATGTCTGCCGTCATGATTAAAGCCACTAGGCTGATTAGCACTGGCTCTTTCCAGTCTCCCCCTGAAACAGGTGAAGCAGAAGTTTCAGTCCATGGACATCTCCTTGAAGGAGAATCTGCAGGAGGTGATCGAAGAGTCTGCAAATAAGTTTGGGTAAACATGTTTTTCTAGATTGAGCTTCTTAAGGTTTCAGGTTTAGCAACATACCTAAAATAAGGTGAAACCAAGAATGCACAGATGAATGTGACCTGTCTAGTCCTTTCCAAACTTTGGAGTTCTCTTTGGATTAAAAATAGGACTTAAATTGCTCAAAAAGTCTAGCATCCTTAAATTCTGGGGCTGATGTGCAGACCTGGGAGGTCAACTTGGCCTGCCCTCACTGGACGTAGGAAAAGGGCCTAAGAAGGGCCCGCTAGGGTCAGGTTCAGGGCGAGCTCTGGCCAACCAGGTCCTCCGGCATCCTGTGCCATGGGAGGGGACCGCACACACATCGGGCCTGTCAGCTAGTTAGTTTATTTGCCCCGACCAGCAGAACAAACGTGGATGAGGCACTCAGTGCCCCCACTGCAAGGCTGGTATGACGGGCCTGTGACCCCAGCATTCTCGGACCACAGTGGCTGTGCCTCGAGCCTTAGCAGGGGCCAGGCAAGCAGCACCTCGGCTGGCCTGGCCCGGCCTGGCAGTGAGTGCTCACCCGCAACGCGGGGACGCTGCCACACGCACGCAGGGTGATGGCTGTGCTGCTTCCTCCTGCTGCAGGATGAAGGACATGCGTGTGCAGACTTTCAGCATTCATTTCGGGTTCAAGCATAAGTTCTTGGCCAGTGACGTGGTCTTCGCCACCATGTCGCTGATGGAGAGCCCCGAGAAGGACGGCTCAGGGACGGATAACTTCATCCAGGCTCTGGACAGTCTCTCCAGGTAGTGGGCACGGCCGTGAGCTGCTGTCCCCACAGGTCACCTCCAGGCCTCAACCTCACACGGCCCAGGAGGCAGGGCATGGGGGTGACTGTGTCCTGAAGAAGCTTCTCAAGTGTGAGTCAGGATCACAGTCCGCCAGAGCCAGGGGTGCGCAGGACACATTTCCTGCCCACCGTTGGCATGTCACTTTCACTTGAATCGTTTTCATTTCTTCCTGATTCTTAAAATGCTTTTTTCACCTCCTGTATTTCTTAGGCATCATTTGTGGTGTTTATTTGTTCCTGTGTTTCTTCTACTTTAGTCTCCATTTCTCCATTATTTTTCTTTTGCTTCTCATTTTTTCGTATCTTCCTGAAATGTCTGTTTTGTTTTGTTTTGTGTCTTTTAGCTTGCTCTGAAATGGAGCGCTAGTTTCTGTCTTTGGGGGACGTGTCTCTCAGTGTCATTTCATCGGCACTACGGGTGCTATTCTCCTTTTTTCTCTTCTTTCTAGTAGTGACTTTGAGGGATTTGATGTTGGCACTTCTCTGTGGCTTGGGTTCCCTGACATTTTGGGAGGGGGTATGATCTGACAGTCTGTCTAACTTCAGAGAGCTCCCACTGTTAAAGATGTAGGAAGGCTCCTCCCTGGGCTTTCCTGGCCCTTTCCCTAGCGCAGTTTTTTTTAAAGCAGCTTTACTGAGCTATAATTCACACATCAAATAATTCACCCATTTGAAGTTCACAATTCTGTTTTGTGGTGGTTTCACAAGGCTGTGCAAACATCATCACTATCCAATTTTAGAGCATTTCCATTCCCCCCAAAAGAAATCCTGCTCCCTTCACATCACCTCCCAAGTCCTCCATCTCTCCCAGCCCCAGGCAGCCACTAGTGTACTTCTGTCTCATAGATTTGACATTCTGGTCATTTCATATAAATGGAATCAACATGATGTGCTCCCCTGGGACTGGCTTCTCTCACTTAGAATAATGTTTCCAAGGTTCGCCTATGTTGTAGTTCACCTGTGATCTGTCAGAATGTCCTTTCTTTTTATTGAAAATAATATTCTACAGTATGGATATACCACACTTCATCTGTTTATCAGTTGATGGGCATTTGAGTAGCTTCTACCTTTTGACTATTATGAATAATGCTGCCATAAACATACGCATAATTGTGTGGACATGTTTTCATTTCTCTTGCATTTATGCCTAAAGTGGAATTGCTGGGTCATATGGTGACTATATTTAACCTTTTGATTAACTTTGACAGACTGTTTTCCAGAATGACTGTATAATTTTGCGTTATTACCAGCTGTGTGTGAGAGTTTGGACTTATCTATCTTGTCAACACTTGTTATTGTCAGTCTTATTATTATAGCCACCCAGTGGATATGAAGTTGTATCCCATTGTGGTTTTGATCTGCCTTTCCTGATGGCTAATGATGTTGGGCAGCTTTTCATATATTTATTGGCCATTCATATATATTGTTTGGAAAATTGTCTGTTCAAGTCCTTTGTCTATTTTGAAACTGGGTTATTTGTCTTTTTATTATTGAGTTGGAAGAAATACATATTCTAAATACAAATCCCTTACCAGGTAAATGTTTTGCAAATATTTTCTCCTTTCCTGTGAGTTTCCTTTCACTTCCTTGATATTATTTGTTGAATCACAAAAGGTTTTAATTTTGATGATATCTATTTGATGATGATTGCTCCTTTTGTTCTTGGTTTTGATTTTTTTTTTTTTGGTGTTATATCTAAGACGCATTGCCTAATCCAAGGTCATGAAAATATACATTTGTTTTCTATAAGAGTTTTATAGTTTTGGCCCTTACATTAGGTGTACGATTGATTTGAGGTTAATTTTTATGTCTGATGTAAGGAAAGGGCCCGACTTAATTCTTTTGCAAGTGGACGTGCAATTGTTCCAGCACCATTTGTTGAAAAGATTTCTTTCCCCTTCTGAATTATTTTGGCACTCATGTTGAAAGTCAGTTGACCATAAATGTGGGAAATTTATTTCTGGATTCAAATTCTGTTCCATCAATTGATACATCTCTCATTGTGACAGTACCACGTGGGTGTGATCACTGCAGCTTTGAAGCTTGTTTTGGCTATTCTAGGCTCCTTGAATTTCCATATGAATTTTAAGATCAGCTTGTCAGTTTATGCAAAGAAGTGTCAGATTGCATTGACTCTTCAGGTTGGTCTGGGGAGTATTGTTATCTTAACAATATTAAGTCTTCCAATCCATGAATGTGGGCTGTTTTTCCATTTATTTTGATCATTTTTAATTTCTTTCAACAGTATTTGCAGTTTTCTTGGAATAAGCTCTGTACTTCTTTTTGTTAAATTTATTCGTAACTATTTTTTTGGACGTTGTAAATGGACTTTTCATAGCTTTATTTTTGGCTTGCTCATCGCTACTGTATAGAAATACAGTTGATATTTGTATATTGGTTTTGTATTCTGTGACATTGCTGAACTCATTTATTGCTTCTGGTAGTTTTTTAGTGGATTCCTTAGATTTTTCTATATACTAAATCATGTCATCTGCAAATGGAGATGGTTTTACTTCCTCCTTTTCAGTCTGCTAGCATCTCCACTACAGTCCCAGGATATTTTTATCTGTACTTTCTTTTTCCCTTTTCTATCATCTCAGTCTTACTCAATGCTGATTCCATTCTCAGAACTTCTCCTCAGTGAGGGGCCCAGCATAGAAAGAGGGCCAGGTGAGACTCCCAGGGGCTGGACCATGCTGACCCCCACTCTTTACTGCACCTCTTCCCCTTCTGTGGCCTCTTGTACTTCACCATGGCCCCTTGGGCTCACCTGTTCTCAGAAACGGCAAAACTCCTCTCCGTTTTGGCTCCTGTTCCCCAGTTGCCTTGAGTGTTTCATGATTCTTAGGTCCTGCTGTTCTTCTGCTCCCTCCCACACCGACGTCAGCAAGAGCCGGTCTCTGGGCCAGTTGGGAGTCTGTTCCCACCTGTTTATAGTTTGAGGTCTGTGATGTTCCTTCCTTTCCTTGTGTTGCTTGTAATGGTCCCAGGTTTTTGGTTTTGTGATGTGATTGCTCTGTTTTTATCTAGAAATATGGGGAAATCCAAAAACTATACTACCAGGCTACCACTGTCACTCTAGAATTGATGGATCAGCTTCAGACATTGTCTGCTGACTTCCTGCTGTGACAAAAGAGCATTTATTCCACCTTTGTGCTCCTTCCCCCTGCTGTTTGTACAGTTATGCCATAGTTATTTTTACAGTTATTTTTAACTCCTTTGTAACTTTTAACATAATTACATAAGATAGGATCTTGTTCTATCACCAGTGTCCCTTGTCTCCCTACTTTATAAGAAAAGGATATTAGCATCCCTACCTTTCTCCTTTCCCATACCTCCCAATTTCTGAATTGTGTGCTTTTACATTTTCAAGATTGATAACACAATCTTGGGTTAGAAAATAGAATGCAAGTTATCTCATCTTTGGCTATCAGTTGATTGTAAAAGAAGAAAATCAGTAGTGTTACTTCATTGTGCTAATAAAATATTCCCGAGTCAACGATGTGCAGTGATTACATTACTTTCTGGTATACCTCTTTGTTTTTCCTGGAACTCTTCATTGCCTCCTTTATCGCATCCAGTTTTTTCTAGGCTGTCCATCCAGCAGGTATTCCCTGAGCCCCTTCTGTACCAGAGAGCCTGAGGCTCTGTCTTCTGACTCCAGCTTGAACCTCAGCTCTTTAGGCTTCTGCCCACTACCACCACTGATGGCCCTTGACTGTACCCCTGGGTTAGAGCCAGTGCACCTAGGATTCTCATCTGTGGGTTTTTTTTTACTCCCTCATTTGGCTAGAGCACAATTCTCAAGTACTTTTAAAGTTACGTTCTTAGTTCTTAATGTTTGATAATATCTTTATTCTACCCTCATCTGATGGCTAGTTTAGCCTGTAGAGAATTCAAGGTGGAAGACAATTTCCTGTTGCATTACTACCCTGTCTTCCAGTAGCCAGTGGTGCAAACGAGAAGTCTGAGCCATTTTGGCTCTTGATTCTTTGTAAATGTACCAGCACCCCACCTGAAGAAGCTTACAGGATCCTCTGATTCTCAGTGTTCTGGAATTTTATACTGATGTATTTAGCGCTCTTGTTTCCTGTATTGTACTAGGCTCTCAGGTGAGCTGTTTGAATCCGAGGCCCTCCACTTGGGAATGCTTTTGTACTGTTCCTTTACTATTTCCCCACATGTGTGTCAGAGTTTATTATTCTTTACTTTTTGGGGGGTTTTTGTTTGTTTGTTTTTCCAGGCTTCCTTGAACAATACTCTGTCTCTGATTTTTGCCTTATTATTTTCCATGGGTTAGAAAATAGAATGCAAGTCTTCTTATTGATGTTAAGGAAGCTTTTTCTTGACTTTATCCTCTATGCTTTGAGTCAGTTTTTTGTTTTTTGCAATCATTTTTGCTTTTCATAAACACTCCCCATTTCTGGTAGGTCCTTTTTCATAGCATCCTGATCTTGGTTTATGAATGTATTCATTGCCCAGATCTCTCCAAAGATAGTAATTAGAGTTCATTTAAGTTTTCTTTTGTTCTTCAAGGTCTCTGTTTCCTCTTGGGTCATTTTTTCAGGTCACAGTTACTTCTCAAATGTCTGGTGGTCCTTCACATTCACAAGGGAGGCTGTGGAAGCCTCTTGAGCCCTAGGTCTCTGGGCACAGCCTGTTGGCTGGAAGGCATCCCTTCATCTTGGTGGGCAGGACCCTTGCTTGCTGGGGTCCACAATCCTTGCTTGAGGCCATCACATCTCCACAGAGGGTTCATTTTAATGTCCTCGGAAGGGAACTCTCCTTTTTGGCGGGGAAGGGTAAGATTCTACCTGTCAGGGGGTGTGTCCTTGCCCAGGCGTCTCTTCTCTCTGTCACAGCCCTCCAGGCACCTTCCAGAACCTGCTGGGCACAGTCTCCTCTCTGTTGGCTTTCGGTCTCCCCATCTTCTGACGCCAGCACCCCTTCCCACCTCTCATGTCCATCACTGGTTTATACATTTATTCCTTCCTTTCACATGAAAGGAACTCAGGAGGCAGGGAAACACACCCACCCCCTTAACCACTGCCCCGCCCCACCCAGGAACCAAGTGCATTAATGACTCTGTGCCAAAGCCGTGCACCTCTCACGTTACAGGAGTAACCTGGACAAGCTCTACCGTGGCTTAGAACTTGCCAAGCAGCGGCTGCGAGCCATACAGCAGACTGTCGCCAGCTGCCTCTGCACCAACCTCGTCGTCTCCCAGGGGCCCTTCCTCTACTGCGCCCTCGTGGAGGTCAGGCTCCCCATGGATGCACAGGCACTGGGCCACACCTGCCAGCTGCCCCCTCTAAACCATCTTTGTGTCCTCCCCTGTAGGGGACTCCAGACATCATGCTGTTCTCCAAGCCAGCATCCCTGAACCTGCTCAGCAGACACCTGCTCAAGTCCTTTGTGTGCTCGGTGAGGAGCTGGGTGGGTGGGTGCCAGAAGGCAGATGCTCAGAGCAGAACGCAGACTGGGCATCAGAAGCTGGCCTTGGGTACCAGTGACCTTTTACCAGCTGTAGGGTCTGGACACATCCCTCCTTTCTCTGAGCTGTGTTTTTCTTAGCTGACCCTTGGGAACCTTCCATTCTCACAGTCTCTGATTCTATCCCTCCCTGTCCTGGTCACTTGGACAGGTAGGGAGGGGCTGCATGGAATCTGGGAGGCCAGAGCTTGTGCTCAGCTGTGGCAGAACACGGAAAGCTGAGGTTTGTCGTGGCAGACATGCCACCCAGCAGAAGTTTCTTTTCAGCGGGCTGCGTTTCCCCTGCTTCGTTCTGCCTTCTGCATGCCCTCGCACCCTTCCTCGCTCTGGCCCAGGCGCCGCCCTGACGCTGCCGCGTTCAGGTGGGGCTCTGTGACCGAGGACGCACCTTGCCTCTGCAGACCAAGAACCGGCGCTGCAAGCTGCTGCCCTTGGTGATGGCTGCCCCCCTGAGTGCGGAGCAGGGCACGGTGACCGTGGTGGGCATCCCCCCAGAGACTGACAGCTCAGACAGAAAGAAGTGAGCTAAGTGCCACTTGCTTGGGGGGTTGGGAGCCACCAGGGTCATTGGCCCATGGGTCCTGCTGAGTCAGATGATATTTGCCCTTAACACCACGGACAACCCAGGGCAGCCTTTTCCAAGGAGTGGGGCTGTGAGTGCTTAAATCCACCGGCTGCAGGTTAGCCACCAAGCCTCTGTCTGCCCCCTTGACTGGACTTCTGATTGCTTTTAGTGTACATTCCTAAATGAGAATGTTTACTAAGTTCTGACAGTAGGTAGCCTGCTAAATGGGAGTGGCGGTCGCCTGTCATCTGCTGGACATTCAGGCTGCTCCTAAGTTTTGTTAGTAGAGACGGCGTCCCCAGGGGCTGTGAGCACACAGGTTGTCTTCTTGCACTTTGGAGAAGCATCTCCCCCCTCTTCTAAACGTCCCCTTGGCCCTTCCTGCCTCTCCAGGGCTGGGTTCTGCCCACCCCTGCTGCAGGAGGTGGGGCAGAACCCAGCCCTGGAGAGGCAGGAAGGGCCAAGGGGACAGCCTGGTGTCGGCCAGCAGCCTTGGCCTGGGACCTCCCCTGTCTCCCTGCTGCCCACGCCATGTTCTTCATGGCTGGAGGGCCTGGTGTCCAGCACCCCTTCCCACCTCTCATGTCCATCACTGGTTTATACATTTATTCCTTCCTTTCACATGAAAGGAACTCAGGAGGCAGGGAAACACACCCACCCCCTTAACCACTGCCCCGCCCCACCCAGGAACCAAGTGCATTAATGACTCTGTGCCAAAGCCGTGCACCTCTCACGTTACAGGAGTAACCTGGACAAGCTCTACCGTGGCTTAGAACTTGCCAAGCAGCGGCTGCGAGCCATACAGCAGACTGTCGCCAGCTGCCTCTGCACCAACCTCGTCGTCTCCCAGGGGCCCTTCCTCTACTGCGCCCTCGTGGAGGTCAGGCTCCCCATGGATGCACAGGCACTGGGCCACACCTGCCAGCTGCCCCCTCTAAACCATCTTTGTGTCCTCCCCTGTAGGGGACTCCAGACATCATGCTGTTCTCCAAGCCAGCATCCCTGAACCTGCTCAGCAGACACCTGCTCAAGTCCTTTGTGTGCTCGGTGAGGAGCTGGGTGGGTGGGTGCCAGAAGGCAGATGCTCAGAGCAGAACGCAGACTGGGCATCAGAAGCTGGCCTTGGGTACCAGTGACCTTTTACCAGCTGTAGGGTCTGGACACATCCCTCCTTTCTCTGAGCTGTGTTTTTCTTAGCTGACCCTTGGGAACCTTCCATTCTCACAGTCTCTGATTCTATCCCTCCCTGTCCTGGTCACTTGGACAGGTAGGGAGGGGCTGCATGGAATCTGGGAGGCCAGAGCTTGTGCTCAGCTGTGGCAGAACACGGAAAGCTGAGGTTTGTCGTGGCAGACATGCCACCCAGCAGAAGTTTCTTTTCAGCGGGCTGCGTTTCCCCTGCTTCGTTCTGCCTTCTGCATGCCCTCGCACCCTTCCTCGCTCTGGCCCAGGCGCCGCCCTGACGCTGCCGCGTTCAGGTGGGGCTCTGTGACCGAGGACGCACCTTGCCTCTGCAGACCAAGAACCGGCGCTGCAAGCTGCTGCCCTTGGTGATGGCTGCCCCCCTGAGTGCGGAGCAGGGCACGGTGACCGTGGTGGGCATCCCCCCAGAGACTGACAGCTCAGACAGAAAGAAGTGAGCTAAGTGCCACTTGCTTGGGGGGTTGGGAGCCACCAGGGTCATTGGCCCATGGGTCCTGCTGAGTCAGATGATATTTGCCCTTAACACCACGGACAACCCAGGGCAGCCTTTTCCAAGGAGTGGGGCTGTGAGTGCTTAAATCCACCGGCTGCAGGTTAGCCACCAAGCCTCTGTCTGCCCCCTTGACTGGACTTCTGATTGCTTTTAGTGTACATTCCTAAATGAGAATGTTTACTAAGTTCTGACAGTAGGTAGCCTGCTAAATGGGAGTGGCGGTCGCCTGTCATCTGCTGGACATTCAGGCTGCTCCTAAGTTTTGTTAGTAGAGACGGCGTCCCCAGGGGCTGTGAGCACACAGGTTGTCTTCTTGCACTTTGGAGAAGCATCTCCCCCCTCTTCTAAACGTCCCCTTGGCCCTTCCTGCCTCTCCAGGGCTGGGTTCTGCCCACTCCTGCTGCAGGAGGTGGGGCAGAACCCAGCCCTGGAGAGGCAGGAAGGGCCAAGGGGACAGCCTGGTGTCGGCCAGCAGCCTTGGCCTGGGACCTCCCCTGTCTCCCTGCTGCCCACGCCATGTTCTTCATGGCTGGAGGGCCTGGTGACTCTCCCGGGAGCTGCCTGTCACTGGCTTGGGCTCGGGCCCCATGCTCCCCACCACATCCCAAGAGGTGACCTCAGTGCCTAGTGGGGCAGCTTGGGGGCAAGGACCACACAGCGTCCTGTGCCTCCTGGTCTTCCAGTTAGCCTGTCAGCCTCCACCATGGAGGACACTGGTCCTGGGTCTGGATCAATCCGAGCCCCACTGCTGCGAGCTTTGACCTACTTCTGTGTCTGCAAAGGCCATTTAGTAACAAGTTGGGAGGGACAATGGACTTTTAAGACAAGTGCTCCCAAGTTGCGGGCTGTTTTCCAAAACTCCACAGTCGGTCTTGGATTTGCAATCACGTGGTTGGAACTGGCCAGGGGCTTCTGGGCTGGCTTCCCAAGGTGGACATGGAGCATTTTCCCATGGGCCAGCACAGCCACTTGCGTTCTCACTCTGGTCATTGGTTTGTCCTTGTGCGTGGCCGTGCTGGTTAGCAGTCAGCTCTCACCAGTATGCGGTTTCGTGTGAGAGCTGTTGTGGAGGCACCTTACCTGTAGTGGCCCTGAGCCCCCAGGGGGTGGCTCTGTGCCCCTGGCTGTCTCGCTGCCTACCTGCACTTGTGGCAGCTCCAGCTGGGCATTTCAGGGTACTCCTGTCCCCTGACCCTCACTGGCCCGCGTTCCAGCAGCGCACTGCAGCCTGGCCCCACATGCTCCTCCCAGGCCCACCCTGCTATGTGTGACTTGGGCTTGTCTAAGACCCCATCCCAGCTCCCAGCAAGCCTCTGCCTCTCACTCTGCCCCAGCTGCCAGCCCAGTTCTGGGCACAAGAGGGGTTATAGTCAGAGCAGTGGGTGTGAAGCCTGGGGAGGTGCAGAGGACCCACAGACCTGGAGGGTGGAGGAGGGCACGGCAGGATGCAGGGTGGAAGCGCAGTGAGGTGTGACTGTCCAAAGAGGGGTGAGGCCTCACAGGGCTGTAGCCCAGGGAGGGTCCCCTGTGGGCGGGCAGGAGTCTGAGCTGATTCCAGTGTCCATCCAGGCATTGTGGGAAGGGCCCACTGCAGTGGACGGGCCCCCAGTGTGCCTCTTGTGTGTCCACAGCTTCTTTGGGCAGGCATTTGAGAAGGCAGCAGAGGGCACCAACTCCCGGACCCTGCACAACCGTTTTGACTTCTCAGGTGAGAGTCCACTGCTCTGGGGCCCCTGGACATCAGTGCAGGGAAGCTGGTTGTCAGAGGTTCCCTGCCAGCAGCCCTCCTGTCCTCTGGGACCCAGCCCGGGCCAGGCTGTTCCAGGCAGCTCAGGGGGCCCAGGGGGGTCTGGCCTGCCCCATCTGGGCTCTTTGAGGCTCCTGGGCAGGCCTTTGGGCAGGGAGCAGGTACTGCTCAGGGAACCGTAGGCCTGGCTCCAGCCTTACAATCCAGCCCTTTGGACCACATCACCAGCCAGCCTGGAGGACTGGCCCACAGGGCCCCACGGTACCCCCAGGGTCTCCGCCCCTCCCGTGGGAGCGGATACAGCAGGATACAGCTGCTGTGCTGGCCAGCAGCTTTGTGTGCATTGTGGTGAAGGGCCTCCCCAAGGCTGCTGCGGGTCCTGAGTGACTGGCCCCACTGCGCCGGAGGAGCCCCCTGGCCTGTGGCTTGAGAGGGCCATCCTTGCAAGTCGGCACCCCAACATCACAGCTTCTCCAGTTGCCAGCCTGGAACATAGTTCACATTTGCCCATATTTGCCTTTTAATTTTGATGACATATTTTAAAGTAAAACATATCAACACTTCACCCCATGTATTAATCAGCTTGGGCTGAAACAAAGCATCAGAGACTTTGGGCCTTGAACAGCAGAGACGTTATTCTCAGTCTGGAGACTGGAAGTCTGATCAAGGTATCAGGAGGGGCAGTTTCTCCGGAGGCCTCCGTCCCTGGTTTGTAGACACTCATCTCTGTGTTCTCACTGGATCCCAATAAAGATCCCAGCAGATTGGATTAGGGCCCACCTGAATGGCTTTTTGACTTATCACTTCTTTAAAAGCCCTATCTCTAAACACAGACACATTCTGAGGTGCTGGCTTAGGCCTTCAACACCGGGATTTGGGGAGGACAAGATGCCTCAGAAAGGGTGTTTTGAATCAGCACAACGTGCCTCCACAGCAATGACTGTGGTCAGAGGCCCGGTGCCGCCTCCCACCCTGCCCCCTCTGTGGTCTGGCGCCAGCATCTTTGTGCTGGGCCAATGGGTGCTGTAGCTCTTGGGCAGGTACATGTTCAGCAGCAGCCCCCATTTCACGTCTCATGCCCCCGAGTGGGGAGAGGTTGGCACTGGCCAGCCTGCAGGAGCAGCTTGGCTTCTGTGAGTAGGGAGGCAGCCATGGCCTAAGGCAAATGGCTGGCGGGACCAGGCTGCCTGGTTTTGCCCTAACGAGGGCATGCTTGTTTCGGCCTAATGGGCCCCCAGAGATGTAGGCAGTTTGCAGCATGTCCCCTTTTATAGAAGAGGACACACTGAGAGACCCGCTGGAAGGAGACCCGAGACAGGCCTCCCACAACCCGCTGTGGGACAGGGCTCTATGTCCTGTGGTGGGAAGGCCCTTCTGCCTAGCTCAATGTTCTGAACCATCACATCTCCTGTGCTCACTCTGCTGGCTGTCACTGCTGGTCCCCTGGCTGCTTGGAGGGTCTACCCCCCAGACCACAGCACCAGCCTCTCCAACAGGGCTGTCAGGAGTCTCTACAGAGGGACAGAGAAATAGCACCTCTCAGTCCAGAATATTCCAGGTCGCCAAGGGCCCGAGCATATCCTGGAATGCCCTGGATGACCAGGAATGGGGAGGCCGCGCGCCCTGACTTGTTTTTCTCTCTTCTCCCTCACGCCCCGCCCTGCTCCTCCCATCTCACAAGATGTTTTTCTTTCATTACTTCAGTAATTGAACTGAAAGCAGAGGATCGCAGCAAGTTTCTGGATGCGCTTGTGTCCCTCCTGTCCTGAGGGTGAGCCGTGGGGGAGGGACGGATGCAGGGGAGCTGGGGGGAGATCCTCTGAGGAGGCGGGGGTCCCTGCCACAGAGTCAGCCCTGGTGACACAGACTGAGGGCCCTCCCCGATTCCCTGCTTCGATCTGGCCTTTTCCCTCCTCAGGCCAGGCTTCTACATGGCTCTCAGACCAAGCAGGGCTCCTGGGGAGATGTGGGGCCAACACAATTTTCCCAGGCATGTCTGTCCCTGGACTGGCGGCAGTGCCACAATGGGGCATTTTTGAGGGAGCTAATTTCATCAATCTCCTGGGATCCCTTCAGAAAGTGCCAGCATTTGCCCTCTCCTGACCACGTTTACCCTGGTCTGGAGCCACTGCTATGGCAGATGGGACCTGCCAACGCTCTGACATAGAGGTCTCCTCGTGCCAGCCCAGGGTCCCCATCTGTGGTGAGCTGGAAGCAGGTGCCCCTCCCCCTTGGGGTGGGCTGGGGCACACAGGGCCCATGTTGGGGAGCAGTTCTGGTCCAACCCTTTGGGTCTTAAGCGAGGTCTTCCAGGTACCTCAGCAGGTGTGCCCACTCCTACATCTGCAGTGGGGCTGACATTCCTTGGACAGCAAGTGCCAAGCTCAGAATAGGGCCTTAGGTTGGACAGGGGTGTAAGCTTAGAACCCAAATTCAAGGTTACAAGTGGGGTTCTCAGGCAGATGGGCTGGCATTGAGACATAGCCCTTCTCTGCAGTCTCAATGGTAAGCCAGCACTGCTGGGCAGGGTGCAGAGTGAGTCAGGCAGGAAGGGCAAAGAGCGGTGTGCCAGAGGTGCAGGGAGAAGCCTTGTGGGGCACCACCAGGGTGAAGCTCAACCAGCTGCTGGGCAGGGTCTGTGAGGTGAGAAGGTGCCGGGGCCACGAGGCCTTCAGGGGTTCTCGTGCAGACAGCAGCTGGGACCTGGCCAGGGGGGTACAGTGAGGATGGAGGGCACCTGGTAGTTCTGGGGTGGCCCTCTGCCCAGGCATACCCACCCCTCATCCCTGTGAGTGGTGGAGGCTTCTCAGAGGCAACAGCCCAGCATGTCAGAGGGAAGGCCTGGGCACTTTGTTTAATTTGGGGAAACATCAGAATTATTTGAAATTCATTTTTTTTCTCTTTTTTTTTTCCAGAGTATGATTTCTTCAGAAATACCCTCTTCCTTATTTATATTAGTTGGCTTTTATTTGGACTGTAAGTTATGAACATCGTTTTAGATGCACGACAGTCAGTTTTTAATGAAATAAAATCCTTATTTTAGGTTTGGTGGCCCAGTTTTGGCTCTGGTCACAGGGCCAAGGCTTGGTTGTACTCTGAGCCTTCGGTGGGTCCAGGGGAACCTTGATCCTGTGCCCTGGGCGCCCAGGAGGCCCCTCAGGAAGTCAGCCCTGGGTGTGGCCTCCAGTCTCCCTGGGCAGCAGTCGGCAGAGGCTGGGCCCCCGAGCACCTGGGCGCCCACATGGCTTCTGCGATGACCACTGCCCAGCAGGTTGGCCAGGACCTGACTCTGTCCACCCTCCCACCACTTCCTCCTGCCTTCCTGGCCTCAGCAGCGTCTTGAGTCCACCCTCTTGACTATGCCCTTGTTCTGGGCCTGCTCCCCTACGGCCAGCATCTCACCTTCCAGCACCTGCCTGTCCAGCACCCCCATCCTCACAGGCACACAGCGGGCACTGGCAGGCTGCTGGCCGAGTCAGACAGGGATAGAAAGGACAAGGCCTCCAGCGGGAAGGGCCGGGCTGATTGAGGGGCCCCAGATGGAGACGCCGTGGCCCCAGGTCAGCATCACTATGCCCTGATCACAGAAAGCCAGAGCTGGACAGGACCTTCGTGGCCTCCAAATTCTTCAGAGCAGCAAGCTCAGGGGAGTTGTGGGGTCAGCTTGCCCCACCCATCCAGATGTCCCCAGAGCACCTGCCAGGGTTGAGGGATGCCAGAGGCAAGGAGGATGCATTCCTGCCCTCCTGGGAGGAGAGAGCTGCCCACTCAAGCTGAGGCCATCTGTGGCCAGCACCTAGAACACCGGTGCAGGGAGGCAGGCAGCCTGGGGGCACACGGCCACCTGGGGTGATATTTCGGATGGCCAGCAGGAGGCTGAATGGTCTGGGCAGGCTTTAAGTTGGTGGGAAAAAGTCCATAAAGAGTGGCCTGGAAGTGAGGAACGGGCAGATGGGGCCAGGCCTCAGGTGGCCCTTGGGAATGGGTGCTGGGCACGGTGGGGCCGGTGGCGTTGGAGGTTGCCTCCCCTCACCTGGCCTCTGGTGGGTGGAGTTTGCTCTGCCTCCCTGGCATGGGTCAGGTGGCAGCAGCCTGGCTCCCTAGGGCCCTCAAGCTGCCCACCCTGGCCATTTGCAGAAGCTGGGGCTCTGCAGCTGCCCCTCAGAGTCCCAGCTGATGCCTGGGGCCTGAAGGAACTGGAGAGCTCTGGGCTTGTGTGGGTTGCAGCCTCGGGCCCTGCTCCTGCCCAGACATTGACACTGGGCAGCCCCAGGGGCCAGGAGCATCAATGGGGACCTTTGTTCAGGCCCTGCCAGGAGCTGAGGCTGCAGGGTCACACACTCCTGTGCCCAGGACTGCTCTTGGTCCTTGCGGCCCAGGCCCAGGTGGGCTGCCGTGGTGGGCTGCTGAGGGTCGCTGTGCCTCGGAGCCCGTCTCTGCAGCTCATGCAGCATCGTGCGCTCTGGCCACTGGGTAGCCCAGCCTCCCTGGAAGGCCCCCTCTGGCTCTCCTGCAACTCCTGGGATTCAGGGGAGCAAGCACGGTCCCTCTTCCTGTCCCACAGTGGGGATCCTGAACAAGGCCCTGAGTCTGGGGGTGGGGCAGATGCCAAGCCTTCCTGCTGTCTGGGTTTGGAGTTCCTCCCTGCAGTCCCTGCTCCCCTCCACTGTTCTCCTGTGCCCAGTAGCTCTCTCGGTAGCTGTAAGAGATAGCTCTGCTGTGCCCTGTTTTCCTGGGACCCCCACTCCAGCTGCCCGGCCAGGACCAGCACTAGCTCCCAGAGGTCCCATCACAGGAGAAAGGTCACACAGTACTCCCAGCAGGGGCTTGCGGTGAGGTGCTTATGGTTGGCACAAGTCTGGGCTGGCTGCCAGGTTGGCAGGGTGGGCACAGGCCCTGCAGAGAAACACTGAGACTGCCAGGATGGGCTGGCTGGAGCTGGGCCCGGGCCCTCTATGGGCACCAGGCGGTGGGGGCCTCCTCCCCACGGTAATGTGCTTGTCGCCCTGCAGCTCTGCTGGAGCCAAGCACACATTTTGGACTCACCCCTGTTCCCATGGCACTGTGGGCAGGAAGGGCCCAGTCAGTGTTGGACACGTGTCTGGCCATTTGATGTGATCCAGGGCTAGGCAGGCTCTGGGAGGGCAGGTGCAAAACACCTCCCAGTAGTGCATAGAGCCCAGCTTCTCCCAGGCAAAGCCGACAGCCTGGCAGCCCGCCCTTCGCACTTCCTGCATCCCAAGACCACTGCACACCGGCTGGTTCAGGGGGTCCCAACCTGCTTGCCTCCCTCTCCCCTGCCCCTGGGTCCCACGACTCAGCGGAGGCTGGCTCTTCTGACTATAGACCTCACTTTCCTGGGGCACAGTGAGCTGTGGCTGTTTCCCATTCAGTGGGAAGGTGACCACGTAGCAGAGGGGACCCAAGAAAAGGCCATGGGATCTTCTGGATCTTAGCGCCCAGCCCTGGGAGGTTCCCAGAGGAGTCAGAGTCGGAGGTGGATGTGTCAGGGCTGCTGGGCACAGGCAGTGCTGGACAGAGAACAGGACACAGGTGGGAGGGTATTTAAACCATTTACTAAGCAAAATTTTACCCTCCCCCCAAGCGGTGAAGGAGGGCGGGCCCTAGCCCCACACTAGATCTGGTGCCCATAAGCCTCGCCTGGGGAGCTGCTGGGGTGAGGCAGGGAGGTCCAGACCAAGTCTCTCGGTACCACTGGGCTCAGGCCCCACTGATGGGGTAAAGACCAGCTGTACACACCCCCTCCAGCAGCCCAGGCTGGGAGCTGAGGCTCTCCGTCTGCCCCGCTGGAATCAGCAGGGGCCGCTGGGAGTACGGCGGCACCCAAAACCTGAGGGTCTGGGAGGGGAGCGGCACCTCCAGTCCAGTGTCCACACAGTCGAAGAACCTGCGCCCCACCCGTGTCGGAGCCAGTCCGGGGCGAAGACAACCCCGCAGGTCCAAGTGCACATCGCCAGCTGAGAGCGGAGCGCGGGCAGGGGCCGGTCGCTGGGTCGCGTCCGGGTGCAGAATCCGGCGTTCCGCGTAGCCTGTGCGCCGCGTACCCCAGCGGGGGCGGCCTTCCACGCGGGGCTCCCCTGGCCCGCCCTCCGGCTCACTGGCATGGCTGCTGCAAGGGGCCCCGCCGTGCCCCGCGTCCTCAGACGTAGTTCTTCTTGTCGTAGTCGCCCCCAGCCGTGGACCGCCGCGGTGCTGAGTACTTGACCGGGAAGCTGAAGTCCGGGCGGCCGACGCACACCCAGGCGCCACAGCACACGAGGCCGCCGCCGCACATGAGCAGCGCCGAGGCCGCCCAGCCGATGTACAGCGCCGCGCCCAGCTCGTACTTCTGCGACATGGGCACGGTGCGGTCGTAGAAATCGCGGACCACGATGTTGGCGAACCAGCAGAGCGGCACGAGCGCCAGCAGCCCGCAGAGCGCGTAGAGCGCGCCCCCGGTGAGGGCCACGCGCGCCTTGCCCGGGCCGGGGGCCACGCAGGTGGTGCACTGCGCGCCCGCCAGGGTCACGAAGAGCGCGACGAGCGCCAGCAGCACTGCGCCCACGGTGAGCGCCCGCGCCGCCTGCACCTCGGTGCTCAGCGCCAGCACCGAGTCGTACACCTTGCACTGCATGTGCCCCGTGCTCTGCACCACGCACGACATCCACAGCCCCTTCCAAGTGGTCTGCGCCGTCACGATGTTGTGGTCCAGGAAGGCGGTAACCTGCCACATGGGCAGCCCGCACGCCAGGATCAGGCCCACCCAGCCCACCAGGCACAGGACCAAGCCGAGGATCTCCAGTGCCGCCGACCCCATAGCTGGAATCGAGACGCGCGCCCGACGGCCCCGGGGCGTCCGGGCTGGCGCGGCAGTGCCTCGGCCGAGCGGCTCAGCGCCCTGCACAGGCCTCGGTGCCTCTGCGCCCGCGCGCTCGGCTCACCGCCCCCGGTCCGCTGGCCCGCTGACCCGGAGGTCTGCAGCACAGCCTTGAATCTGCGGACGCCTACGGGGGGCTTCCCATTTGTAGGTTCGGGGGCGGACTCTGCCCCTCGGGTCCGGCCCCCAGGCCCCGAGCCGCCAATCCACGCGCCGACCATCGGCCTGCAGCCAATCACAGGCGCCCCCAACAGCGGGGGGGTTAGGGAAGATGCGCTTGCGGGTAGCGGAGGGTGAGGGGTCAGTTCCCCGCCCTGCCGCTCCCCCGAAGCCCGCGTCCGCAGCCGTTCCAGTCGCAGCCCCGTGCGATACGGCCCGTCCTGGGAGCCTGCGCGCGCGCCCCGCGGACCGCCTCCTTGTAGGTCCCAGCCTGGCCGCTTCGGGAGCTGAATAACCCTGGACCAACTTCAGCCACATCCCTGAATGAACCTAGTGGTCTTTACCAACCTGGCCAGCTCCAATCTTACGTGGGCCAAGGTCCGCGGGTACCCCATCCCCAACCCCCAACATCACCAACGAGCAGAGGCCTGCGTGGGGGCCTCCCGCGGCCCCATCTCCCAGGTCAGCCAGGCGCTGCTCGGCCTGTTCCTCGGGATGCTCGCCCTGGAGTCCAAGCCCAACCCCGGCCCTCCTGCGCGCCTCTGCTGCGCGGCTCCCCTCGGATTCCTGGAATGTCTCCCCCACAGTCCGGGAGGCCGGTCAGGCCTGTGTGGGTCAGGCCCGGGGCTCCAGCCTCGTCCAAGGTCTTGCCCGGTGCCACCGCCCACAGATCACCGCCTCCCTGGGGCCTGAGGCCCCAGCAGGAAGCGGGGACCTTTCCACAGCCCCCGGAGACCCTCACTGTTCCTGCAGCCGGAGCTTCCCAGACCCCCGGCCTTGGCCGTCTGCTCCCCTTCCGGGGGTGCCGCCCACCCCCCGTCCTTGAGGCTCGGCTTCGGCGACGCCACCTGGGGAAGTTCCCAGCGGGCCCTGCTCCCAGGAGCGACCAGGGGCCGGGCTGCAGCGCCTGCTCTGGCCCTCGGAGGGGACGAGGGGCTGCGCTCTGCCTTCATCCCAGCGGCAGAGGCGCCCCGGCCCCCGGCTCCAGGCCGCCCTCCGGAAGCCAACTTGGAGTTTCCTGGCCGGGAGGAAGAGCCCCCATCCCCGCCAGAGGCGGGAGGCACGGGATTTCCGGGCATTCTTCTGCACAATGGCCCAGCCATTTCTCAAAAAGCCTGCTGGGGTGGACACTGGGCCCCCGGGAGGCTCACTGCAGCACCATGTAGGCACTGGCCACCTTCTGGCAGCCCCCTCCCCACCCGCGGTGGGCTCCCTTGTTCCCAGCCCTGCCTGGACTGAGACTGCCAGGACGCCCCATTCTCTCCTCTGGCCCGAGGTGCGTGGCTCTGCTGGACAGCACGCGTGTCAGAGAAGGCCTGGCCCCGAGGCCAGCCTCAGCCAGGGGACTTGGACAAACCTTCCCTCCTGGGCCTTGGCCCCTTCTCCCTCCAGGCCAATACCCTGTTCAGCCAGCATGGGGAGGAGCCCAGGCCAAGTTCACCTGGCCGTGGGGTAGGAGGGGGGGGTGGAGGGTGTGTGTGTGAGGGGGGTTGTCATCACCTTCCTCGCCCCTCCCTGCCTTGCTCCCTGCACAGGGTGGGGCTCTGAGGACCTCCTCTCAGCCACCAGTCACCTGCTGCTTCTCCTCTGCTGCAAACCCGTGAGCCACGCACCCTCCACCCTGCAGACCCTCCTGACGTCACCCCCTCTTGTCTACTCCAGGGGCCCAGCCAAACCTCTCACTCCCCCTCTCATTCATGCTCCCCCTGGCCCCAGGCCAGGGACCTTGCCCAGGTTCTCCCCACCATGCTCCACACTGTCCTCCCAGGGCAACTGCTGTGGCCACCTCAGGCCATCTGGGCTCGGCCCTTGTTCACTCAGGCTGCTGCTCAGGGCAATTGGGCCATCCTGGCAGGCTCATCTCCTGGATCACACTTTGCCTGAAACCCTCCACAGCGCGTGCTACCCATGGACAAAGCACTGACTCCTGGGAGTGTCCCACAGTGGCATGTATGCCTGCACGGGGCCTGGCCAGTCTAGCGAGACCTATTCTGTGCTCCATCCAGACCTGCCTCCCTCTGAGCCCTCAGACTGGTCTAGCCTTTTCTTCCTGCTGTGCTTGTCCCACAAGTGAGGGTCTGTTCATCTTCTGAGTTGTGTTGCTGAGGTCACTTCCTCTGGGACACCTTCCTGGCCCTGTCCCCCAGCCTTCCTCCCAGAGGCCCAGGCTGGAACTGCCTGTCTGCTCTTGGTTTTCCTCACCAGGATCCAGGAATGAGTCTCAACACACTGTCTTCATGCATTTGTCCCTGCCAAGGGGCTGCCTGTGGCCCATGGCATACCTCTGGCCCCTCGGTGTTGCAGCCAGCAAGAGGCTCTTGTGCTTTGCCTGGCCACCTGCCTTCTTCCCTCCACCCTCCTGGACCCATCCCAGGGCACACTCTCAACCTGGTCCCCTGGAGTGGCCCCAGTGAGCCCACATCTCTTTAGGGACAGCCTTACCATATCCTGGGGACCTGCTGGAGAAGCCTTACCCTCCACATACCACAATCTAATTTCTGCCCCAACACCACTGTGTTGGCTGTGGCCCAGGCCCTCAGTGGAACCAGGCCACCACGGAGAGGCCCAGCCCAGATCCAGGAGGGGCCTGAGGGCGCACTGCCTTCCTTCCCCTCGTGGAGATCTGACCACCTGCTGCACGCTGGGCACCATCTCTGGGTGGAGCACACACCCAGGGAGCTCCTGCCCCCACCAGTCCTGGGCAGGGCCCTTCCAGGTGTGCCCACAGGCTGTGCAGCATGAGGAGGCCTCTCCAAGGAGGCCACAGGTCAGCCAAGATCTCGGGAAGAAGTTCTGTGCAAGAGCCCAGAGGCAGGAAGGGGGCAAGGCGACCCAGAGCAGGCGGGGCCGGCGAGGCTAGGGCAGTGTGGTGGGCCAGGGTCTGCAGGCTGAGGTCAGAAGGGGCCCAGGGCTGGACAGGGTTGCGAAGCCCTGCTGTCTGGTGAGGGGCTCAGAGCAGCAGACCTGCCAAGGCCACCTGCTCATTTATGGCTATTGTTCTGCCTTCCCAGGGGAAGTGCAGCAGGATCTCACTAATTGTGGGAGGGAAAGGCCTGAGTCAGCAGAAAAGCAGAGTTTATCTTGAGCAGCTGCCGGCTGACCCTGCGCCAGGGTGATCCACTGACCTTCCAAGGACAACCTAAATTTAGGCTCCAGATTCCTGGGGACTGGGGTTTGGGAAGCTCCTAATAAATGGATTTCATTTCAGAGGAAGTGAAAAAAAGTTCTTTCTACCTTTTGGCTTTGAAACAGTTAAGGAGGTTTCCTCCAGTGCAGCAGATGTTTGGGGAGCCTCTGAGCGCAGAGCGATGCTGGCTGCCCTTTCATGGTGTCCCGGAGGCAGGGCGGGTCCCCAGGGTCACTGGGCCCTGCTCTGGGGGTTTGAGGCAACCTGCAGAGCACCCTTTGACAAACAGCCAGGGAATTAACAATGCAGACTACTGAACTGGCCTCTCCTTGCCTTAGTTTCCCTGTTGGTAACAAAGTCCTCCACAGTGGAGGCCGCAAGTTTGGAGGGAAGGCAGTCGCCTATCCTGGGTCCTCTACTGCCATTCCTGAATGCCCTATGGGGTCCTGAGATGCCTCCCCCGTCTCTTGACCTTCATGGCTCATCTGACTTCAGTCCCAACCCTCAGAGCAGGCACCACTGGCTATTTGTCAAATCTGGAAGGCACTAGGGCTTTACCACCCCCACGGGTAAGGTGTGGGGGCTGGGGAGCACAGACCCTGGGGGGTTGACAGACCCCCCCAACCCTGCCTTCATGGACTATACCAGATGACAGTCTCTGCACAGTCCAGGCCCCCCAGAGGAGGCCAGCCAAGTCTGTATGAAGTGGCAATGGTGTCCCCAGGGCCCCAAAGCAGCCCCCACCCTTTCATCCCTCACCCCTCACTACTGCACTGCATCCATGGACTCTCTGTCCACTTTCTCTCCCCTAACCCCTTCTTTTTCTAATTCTTTCCTCCTCTGCATGTTGCATTTTGCCACAATTTTATACTCTTTCTACTTAAACTCATAGAATAATTTTGGATTCTCCATTTTTATTTGACATCATATTGTAAACATGTCTATACTTTGTTAAAAACACCTTCATGATTATCATTGTTTCTAACTGCTTGGAAGAGGGCCTTGGGGGTTAGGAGGAGCCAGGATGGATTCCCTGCCACTCTGAGGGCAGGATGCGGCCAGGGCAGTCTGCTCTGAGGGTCTGTAAGGCGGGGGTGACACTGGGCTCACATGGAAGGTTGTCAAGGGTCACAGTGGGCAGCACTTCCTGGCTACAGATGGACACTGGGTAAACATTAATGGTGATGATGGTTCTGGTAATTATGCAACATTCCTCAAGACAGTTTTATAAATGATTTTTCTATTATAAATAATACTGCTATGAACGTCTTTATTCATAAGCCTTGGTATTTTGGATGATTTCCTCAGGAAAAAATCCTCAAAGTAGAATTTCTGGCTCACATCCAGGGGGTTTTTATCACTTAGACCTCTTATCTGAGTATGTGTTTTCACTGCCTGTCACCACCAGCACTGGGTATTCACAGTTTCAAAAGTTTACTAATTGGATAGGCAGAAAATCTTTCATTTGCATTTCTTGGTAGAGTAATGTGGTTAAAATATTTTTTCAACTTATATTGCTCATTTTTATTTCTTCTTTGATGAATTGTCTATGTTGGTGTTTTTCTCAGGCTGTGTCAGAAACATTCCTTGCCGTCTAACATGTGACACATACCTTTTGATGTTTGCTACTTAATCTAATAATGATGTTTTTCAGGATGTTATAGAAGTTCAAATTTTTGAGTATTTGAATCTATTAAGGTTTTACCTATGTGACTTCTCTTTATTTCTAACCACCAAAAATTCCTTCTAGATCCAGAAGGTACAAATTAAGTTATATTTTCATATAGTTTTCTTCTACTTCTCATCATGCTAAGGAGGGCTTCCGGTTCTGACCAAGATGGATGGGACTAGAGTTTTGCTAGACAGCAAAATAGAGGGGGAAAGAGGAAAGAATCAATACATTTGAAGACAGAATGATAGGATTATTCCAATCTTCAGTCTTCTGAACAAGACTGAGAATGTGGACTGAAGAGAAAGAAAGAATGAGCCTCAAGGAAATGTGGGATCATAAGAAATTTAACATCCATGTCATTGGAGTCCTGAAAAGAGAAGAGAAAAAGGATGGGGATAAAAAGTATTCAAAGAAATAATAGCTGGAAATTTCCTAAATTTAGCAAAAAGAAAAGAAAAAGCAAAACTGAAGAAACCTATAAATTCAAGATGTTGCCTGAATCCCAAATAGGATAAACCCAAAGAAATCCACACCAAGACACATCATAATTAAACTTCTGAAAACTAAAGACAAAGAAAAATATTGAAAGGAACCAGAGGAAAAAGACATCTCACCTATAGGGGAAAGACAAATCAAGTGACCAAGGGTTTTCATTAAGAAACCATGGAGACTAGAGAAAGTAGCACTTCTTTTTAAGTGCTGGAAGAAGAAAAACTGTCAACCCAGAATTCTATATCTAGTGAATATATTCTTCAGGAATGAAGGAGAAATAAATATATTCTCAGAAGAAGGAAAACTAAGAAAATGTGTCACTTTCAGGTATACCCTTAAAGAATGGCTCAAGGATATTCTTGAAACAGAAAGGAAGTGATAAAAGGAGGGACCTTGGAGTACCAGGAAGGATGAAAGAACATGACAAGAAAAATCTTGGTAAATATAATAAACTTTCCTTCTCCTCTTGAGTTTTCCAAATTATGTTTGAAGCAAAAATTATTATGCTGCCTAAAGTGGTTCTCAGTGTATGTAGAGGAAATATCTAAGATAATTATATTATAAATAGGGGAGGGTAATGAGATGAAGGGAGATAAAAGTTCTTTTACTTCATTCCAACTGGAAAAATACTGACACCACT